CTGTCCTGGGAGGTCCAGGCCAGGCCAAGCCCGTCAGCCTAGCGCAGCCAAGTTCAGCTGACACCGTGCAAGTTTTGCGCTTCTCCTCAGAGACCACAGGCGGTAGCGTGCAGCTCCCAGACCCAGCCAAAAAGAAGCTCCTCCGTGAGGTCTGTGCAGAGTTAGCCTGGCTGGAAACTGCTTTCTTCCCAGCCCCTTAGCCTGTGTTCCCTGAGCATGCAAACTGCACACATAGCTTAGGGAGTCCCCACGGAACAGCCTTTCTGGGGCTCTGCCAGGAATTTGCATCACAAAGGCCAAAGAGGCCCACCTCCTTGAGCTTTGTCAGAGGTTGTGTGGCAAAAAATTCCTTCAACAGGATCTGTCTCCCCCCTTTCCCCCCCGCTGAGCTTTCTCTTTGTCTACCACAGTCCTCATGGAAATGAGAGAGGGTCAGGCAGCCGGTTAAAGAAGAGATTATCTTCTTCAGGGGTAAGGAATGCCGCTCCTTGGGCTGAAGTGAGAGATTTCTGGCCATTGTGAAACATTAACCTTTCCAAAATCATTTTTCTTCTAGTTAGATTTTATTTTATTTTATTTATTTATTTATTTATTTTTTTGACAGGCAGAGTGGACAGTGAGAGAGAGAGAGAAAGGTCTTCCTTTGCCGTTGGTTCACCCTCCAATGGCCGCCGCGGCCGGCACGCTGCAGCCGGCGCACCGTGCTGATCCGAAGCCAGGAGCCAGGTGCTTCTCCTGGTCTCCCATGGGGTGCAGGGCCCAAGCACCTGGGCCATCCTCCACTGCACTCCCGGGCCACAGCAGAGAGCTGGCCTGGAAGAGGGGCAACCGGGACAGAATCCGGCGCCCCGAGCGGGACTAGAACCTGGTGTGCCGGCACCATAAGGCGGAGGATTAGCCTTTTGAGCCAGGGCGCGGCACATTTTATTTTTAAAAATGGACATTTTTGGGGGGTGGGGTATGAATCCCAGTTAGGATAAGAGATGAATATTACAATAAAAAGTTCTCCTTATGTGTAAATCTAAAGCCAAAGTGAGAATATGAAATATGAGAAGTAAGAGACATGAGGACTCTAGTGATATGGGAAAAATAGGCAAGGAGATTAGGTAGGGACAGCTGAGCTGGGAGATTTTTCCGTAATTTCTGCCTCTAGCCCTGTATTTTAACTCTACTCCCTGACATGTCAGTCCAGTCTGCCTACTTTTCCAAGAAGCACCTGTGTCTCATCCAGAACCAGGAAGGAGGAGACACCATGATGGTTACGTAGAAGTTAAACTCCATATGCAGACATCATGAAACTCCCAGAGAGCCTCCCGCACACTAAGCCCTACCCAGACTCCACTCGATTTGTGTGTGCAGCTAGGGGACTTCCCCTACCCCATAAGGGGACTGTTGCATGCAGGAGCTGCCCCCCCCCCTTTTTTTCTTGGCTTCTGGACATTTTTGATCCTTCTCTGGCCCCCTCTCACTCTCGCTCCTTGGAGGGAACACTCCTGCCCACTCACGGTGGGTACCTCTCCACATGGGGTTGCCCATCCCCACATGTCAGTGTATACTCACTCTCACTTTCAAATAACTACTGCTCTTACTTGTCCTTGTGCACTTTACTTATGCCTGTGCATTAAATTCTTAACACTTTGGGAGCAATAACTGGAAATAGAAATTGAGACACAGTTTTCTGTAACAGTAGGGTTCAGCGCTGATTTTTCTCTACGCTCAGGTCAGGGAGAATTCTCCAAGGCCAGGCTGCTGGAGGAGGTGGACACATGACAAAATTTACAGATGTGCAGGCCCCAGGCCAGAAAGTCATTTTGAGACCTTGCAGTGACTGCTGTGTGTACCCCCCCCCCACCTTGCACACACATGCAGTCTTTCAGACTTAGAGGAAAGTGCAGAACAGAGTGCTCCCACTTGCCCATCATCTACAGACCCATCCAGGTTTCACCAGTGGCCTTGTGTGTGTTTTAATACAAAGCCTCTAACTGAAGGGAGCACTGGGCACCTGTTGTCCTCTCTTCTCCTCTCCTCCCTCATTTTCTTTCATGACTGTGGCATTTTTTTAAGTTTATAGGTTAACCATTTTATAGAATATTCTCCAATTTGGGTTTGCTTGAAGGTGATTTTTAACTGTATTTTTCAAGGAAAGGCAAAATCACGACTCTTATACAGTACAGAGATACAAATGGACATGTGTTAAGAGGATTTCTTATACTCATATGATAGGAGGCAACCAGGTAGATGTTATAGTCATTTCAAAGGAAAAGGCAAAAGAACGTAAATTTGTACAGAGCCAAGGAATACTGAAATAAGTTGCAATTGGAGACCAAAGTGATTTTCCACCAGCAGGGAAGAAACCAATTAAATCACCACCGGACAGGACAAAATACATCAGATCAGTGACCTACAGCTGACAAGGAGCTGTGAAATAGTTCAAGGGCAACCATAGGTCTAGTAGCTGATGCCACAGAAGGTAACGTTGGCACCCTGCACAGTTTTTCAGGGAAACAAACATTTTTTTCTATAGTTTTGTCCAAGTTTTTTCATCATCAGATCCATGTTATATGTCTCTGCTTGGACTATCACAGATAGGTGTGTATGTATAATTTTATTGCAGCCTACCCAAACACGTTTGTCATAGTACTCTTGTTAACTTTGCTTGATTAAGATAGCATCTTCCAGACATCTCTACTCTAACAACTGCCCCTACCTTTGAAATTAATTTCATAGATAATTTGTAGGGAGAAATTTAGAAACTATGGAAAATTCTATTGCTTGACCCAATTTCACCCACTAGTTTTGACATTGAAGCTTCTTGTCTGAATTATTACTATGACAATTTGTAAAGGGGGTTTTTCTCATGCTATCATTCCTTCTGCATTTATTATTAGTTGACTTTCTGCTATAGAACAAACTTCATTTTCTCCCTTTTTACTGATTTATATACCTGTTCCCAATGAGGTGCCAGAGTAGTCTCACAGCATTTCCCGGAAACCACTTTTGCACAACTCTTTCTATCTCTGTGTTTACTGATGTCAAGTTGGAACTTTAGATTGCCTATGGTGAGAGTAGTGATACCATGGAAATTTGAAACTGTACAAATCAGATTTGTATACTTTTTCCACAGAGATTTAGTCTTTAAACATTATCAACTCATCACTCTATAGTAGTGTTACCTCATATATTCCTGTTTTACTCAGTAGGCTAAGATTGATCACTGTTATTTGTTTTGAGGTTCACCCTGACCTACATCTGGCCATGATGGCTCCTTTATGGCATCCTTTTGCACTATTGCTCATCATTTTTTTGTGCTTCTTTGCTGTTTGGCTCAATGAGATGTTCCTTGCTTATCCAGATCGTACATTGGCCCAGCCTTGGCATTTGCCACTTCGAGGAGCCCTGCTTTCTTCCAGTGGGGAGTAGTGTTGGGCCCTTGCAAGATTCCCAGCATCTACCCAGGTGTGCTTCTCTCTGATCACCGGTCTGCTTTCATCCACCCAGACTTTTTGATGAAAGGAAAATATGGTTGACCTTCTGTATCCGAGGGTTTTCCATCGATGACTCAGTCAAAACTGGATTGAAATTAGCCAGTATTTGCATCTGTGCTGATGCCTGTGCATGCTTTTTCTTGCTATTATTCCCAAAACAGTATGAGAAAAGAACTATTGACATACAATTTGCAATTATAAGTAATCCAGAGATGATTTAAAGTATAAGGGACTTCAAAACATTCTTGGAAAATGTGATTAAATAGATAAGTTAATTTGTATGCAAAAAATTAAAATCTAGCCATGATTTTTTCATAATATCGTTTTCTGTGACCTTTTTGGAGCTTTTGTTTATGGGAGGATCTGCATGGATTAAATGCAAATATAGTGCTATTTTATGTAAGGAATTTAAGCATTTATGGATTTTGCTATCTGTAGGGGTACTGGAACCAAACCTCATGTTTACTGAAGAAAAACTGCAGTTAATATATTTTAAGGAAAGGCAGGAAAATGAAGAAGAGGGGAAGGGGATGAGAATGACCTCTTTATATACATTTTTAATTTCTTATTTTTAGGCAAGACTAGATTTTAGTCTCCATGTGGCCACTTGAGTTCTAAAGTGGTTGTATTTTATGTGGTTGAGAATGTGAAACCTAACAACTTCTGAAGAACAAAACCGCTCATCAACCATTTATTGAGAACCTGCTCCGCCTGTGCCTCATGTGATACCAGTGACTCACGATGCAGAGCCCTGACCTTCAAGGCGTTATGCCAGTGAGATGTCCTAGGACTCACAGCTGATGTGTCCTTGGGTCTGTGTCAGAGGTCGGGATGGGCTTCCCGGAGGAGCCCAAGGGCGTTTGGAGACAGGGCCCAACAAGGTGGACAAGGAGGGGATGGCATATATAAAACTAGGGAGAGTGCGCAAACTTGAGGAACTGGATGTCATTTGACCAGAGTAGAATCACTTGATTCTTTATCTTCTTCAACTCAGTTTTTTATCAAGGTGCGATTGTCCTTTCTTGAAGCCAGGTCTTTCTACTGAAAGCTTCCAGAGCTGCAGTCTTAGTGTCCAACATGATCACAAAGTCTTTCCTCAGAAGAATCTTTCCTCAAGAAAGCAGAAAGTAGAATTGGTGAGCATTTTAGCAAAGAAGGATAGAATATTTCTTCATGGACTAGTGCTTTTGACTTGATTTTTTCATTGAAAACTTAGCCATTCTTATCCTAGGGGTTCTCCCCATCTGACAAAAGGAGAGTTCTTGTTGCCTCTACTCAAGAGTAAGTTTGCAGGGTTGATGAGAGGGGCTTAATCTTGATCTTTTCATTGTGCTTATCATTCATTAGAGAACACGGATTTCTTACTTCGAATGACGCTTTGAGATGGATGAAGTTCCTTTACTTCCTGTCAGTTATATCTCTCCTGTTTCTAAGCCTGAGTTTTGTTTAAGATTCTTTGTATAAAAACGTTGCTTTCAAACATGCTGCTCACATCGTTGTTTTTAAATTTTGCAGACGATACCAGAAATTACAGAAGATTATGAAGCCTTGGTAAGAATACATGATCAACTGATATTGATGATTTAACACTCCTTTCTTCTCTGCATAATTAATCCTTACCTCTGACTAATCGCATAACTATGCATCTAGCTATTTTGAGTGAGTTTTTTTTTCTTTCTGTTTGATCTTCTTATAAACAAGATCCTTAAAAATTTATTCCTTTTCCTTTTTTCTTTGTGGTAGAAAGGGTATTTTATGTTTGTAACCACTAAATGAATCACTTCAGGATTTCTGCCCTTCTCCTGGGGTAATGCTGGGCATAATTTTATGTATTACTTTAAACAAAACTTTCTTTTGTGGCCTGTGTGATGTTCAAAGTCAGAAGTCTTTGATTCTCTTCAATGGCTCAGAAAGAAAAACTCTACATTTAAAAAAAATTCAAGATTGAAATATGGAATAAAAATTATTTACGATGAATTTGGGAAAGTGCTCAATTGCCTATCAGGTGAATTGCGTGCTAATTGTGTCTGGAGATCTCAGAACTTCTCAGAGTTTTCCCTCTTAGTGCCTTTTCTTAGCCACTGAGCAGGGTGCACTCAAATATGGCCTCAGAAACTCCACAAAGCAGGCTGAGCGTGTTTCTGGGGTGTTAAGCGATTAAGCAGATAATTTCAGTTTGAGAAGGAAGATGGAAGAGGATATCAAAATGTGAATTTTACTTTTTTAAATCTTCAGAGAAAATCCTCATCACCTTCAATGTACTGTGATACATGGATGGTACTGGCCTCAGATCATTCATCCTTCCCTGTTCTTCCTACACAGAGTGTTCGTTGCCAGAACCCTTCTGTTTGTTAAGTTCCAATAAAGTAGAAAATGAGATTTAGTTTCTTGAGTAAAACTTCTTAAATTTTATTTTGATAGAACTGTATATTTTAATACAATAGTCATACTTCCTAGTAATGGTAATAGAAATCATCATATAAGAACCTATTGTTTCAAAATGTTCACTCATTCCTTCTAAGCCATTCTTATGAGTATTTCCACCACACAAGCTCAGTATAAATAGCATCACTTTCCTGATACAGAATCTAATGCTAGAGTACATATTAAAACCTATTTTGACTCCATCATCCCCATGCGGTTTGCTAATGTAGAGGAATTTGGGGTTCTGAAGCCATAATAATTTCAATAATTTCTTAAATATAGCTTTAATCTTTTATAACGCAGAGGTGTTTGACAACTTGGCTGCCTGGCTCATGGTTTTCATTATCATCTGTAGCCAAAAACCAGACCCTGGTTTTGGTAATTCCAGGGTGGCATAATCAGACTAACACATCTAACAATTATAAAATCTGGACAAAACATGATAAATGAAACATCTGAAAACAACTATTTGAAGGTACTGGATAGCAACCCCAAACAGGTCAAAAGTGGAGGGAAATCAAGAACAGATGGGGCTCAGCTGGGATTTGTGTACTTACAACTGATAACACCTGCTCATCTGGATAGCCTGGGTGGCAAAAAGCCTTGGTGTTAGTGCTACTAGGAAGATACAGTTTGAGGCTGGAAGGGTGGCTGGGTAGTTAAGGGGGAATCCACAGAAGAAGCGAAGCTCAGAAGGCGCCAGACACCAGATCCGAATAGTAGTAGCTCTGCTGGGCTATGCCTGACCCTGAAAGTGTGCATGCATGTGCCTGCTGCCACTCACTGCAGAGTTGGAGTTTGGTTAACATCCAACTAGAACAAAAATCAACACTTTCCGGGGACCACCACTGACACTACTTTATTTAGAGGTCTAGGATACAATAAGGAATTTCTACTGTATAGGCATTGACCCATGGATAAGGCTGAAAAAGCAGAGAGTAGAGATTGACTTTGAGATGATCCGATGTTAGAATAAGCAGATGAAGATTTAAAAACTGTTATAATTATACTTGTAGAATATAGAAAATTATAATGAATGCATGGATGGACAGTCTTAACAGAGAAATGAAAACATGAAAAATAATAAATTATAAATCATAAGACTGAAAAATATACAATAGTTAATATGAAAGAATCTACTCTTGTTGGATATTATGGTTAGTAGTGCATTAAGCCTGTGATTATTGAGTGGATTGAAATTGTGTTTTTGCAAAAATTAAAGAAAAGAAAGGAGGGAAGGAGAGGAAGGGGGAATGTATGGTTATCTTCTTATTTTGTACCTATGAAAGACATAAAATCTGTTCTCTATTATTAAAATTTTTTAAAAGGAGAAAGAATCACTATAGGGGACTGAAGATGGCAGAAGTGACAATAGCCCTGAAGATATATCTGTATAAATTGCTCAAACTGAAAAATAGAATAAATGAATAGCAACTACTTGCCATAGGCAATAACAGATGATCTAATATACATTTTGTTGGGATCCCAAGCAGAGGAGAAAGTGAAAAAAGACAGAAAAAGTATTTTAAGAAATAATGGTAAAAGATGTCTAAACATTGCTGAATGTAAATGTCATAGATCTGAGAAGGTCTGTGAACAGCAGAACATAAAAGATAAAATAAAAACCATGAAGGAAGCCAGGGAAAAGTAATTTATAACATTATAATAAAAAAAGACTGCTAACTTTTCATTAGAAGCAAGAGACCAATGAGTAACATCTTAAAAGTGATGAAAAAAAAAAAAAAAGAACTTTTCAACCCAGAATTTTATGTCCAGCAAAAGTATCTCTGGAAATGAAGGTTGAGTAAAAGTGCTTTGGGAAAAAGGAAAACTAAGACAACTCATTGTCAGAAAATGTACACTAGGAGGTATATGAAGCAAGTTGTGTAGGCTGAAGTGACATGATACTCGATAGAAATTTGGATCTACAGGAATATGAAGAACACCAAAAATTGAAAATATGCGAATAGCTATAAAATACAAATATAGTTTTCTTCCCTTCTTTCAAAAAATTCAAAAAGACATATAACTATGTAAAATTAAAAATGCTGTTTTATAGAGTTTATAATATGTATAGATATAATATATGTATATGATAATAAGAGTTCAAAGGATGGAGATGCAAAGGAAACTATACTATAAACAAGCTCCCTATTGTATAATTTTCCTTTAAGGAGACATTTTTTTTTGAAAAGATTTCATTTATTTATTTGAGAGGTAGAGTTACAGACAGTGAGAGGAAGAGACAGAGAGAAAGGTCCTCCCTCTGTTGGTTCATTCCCCAAATGGCTGCAAAGGCCGGAGCTGCGCCAAACCGAAGCCAGGAGCCAGGAGCTTCTTTCCTGTCTTCCATGTGGGTGCAGGGGCCCAAGGACTTGGGCCATCTTCCACCGCCTTCCCAGGGCATAGCAGAGAGCTGGATTGGAAGAGGAGCAGCTGGGACTCGGACCGGCGCCCATATGGGATGCTGGTGGAGGTGGAGGATTAACTTACTGTGCAATGGCGCCAGCCCCTAAGGAGACATTAGTATGTTAATGGTATAATCCTGCTAAGAAATTAATGCAAAAAATAAGTCTAAATCCAAAGGAGTTAAATTGGATCACTCAAACAATTTATTCCAAAGGAAGGTAAGAAAAGAAAAACAGAGAACAAAACATTCTTGGGACAATTAGGAAATAAATTTGAAATTTGGTTGACTTAAATCTAGTCATATCAATATATTAAATGTAAATGGACAGGGTATTCCACATGACAATTTCGTATTGTCATATTGTCAAACCAAACTAAGAAAGCATGACTTAGCTCTGTTTTGCTTATGAGATGCAGGGCAAGTACAAGAGCATATGCAGTTTGAAAAGAAAAGGATAAAAAGCACACACCATGCAAATGGTGATAGCAATAGAACGGATTAGTTTTATTAATATCGGGCAAAATAAGATTTAGAAACTATAGGTTTCCAGAGCTAAAGAGTACTAATTAATAATAAAGTAGGGTCATCTTACTAGGCCAAAAAGTGCTAAATATGTATGCACTTAATAGTATGACTTTAAGATACACGAAGCAAAAAACTGACAAATACAGAGAAAAAAAAATCGGACAAATCCATTGTCATAGTTGGAAATTTTAGTGCCATTATTTCATGACTAGGAGAAACTAGGCCAAGAGGACTGAAACTAACACATCAAAACAGACCTATGATGAAACAGGAAATCTGAGTCCCCACAGCTATTTTGGTTTCATTGTTGAAACCCTCCCACAATGAAAACTAGTGGCTTCTATCATATACTTTAGCAGAAATACTGAATCTCCATACATGCTTCCAGAAAATGGAGAACAGGACCAACTTCCAATCATTGTATGTGGCCAGCGTCACTCCAATACCCAAATCTCACAGACAATACAGGAAATAAAAATTATAGACCATTGCCCCAGTTAGATAGATATAAAATCCCCAGTACCATATTAACACATACAATCAGGCAAATATAAAACTGATAATACGTCTTGACTAATCAGGATATATACCAGAAATGGTGTCACATTCAAAAATCAATCAATATAACTCAACATTTAACAGAATAGAGAAACAAAAAGAAGAATCTTCTTAAAGGTGGAAAAGCATTTCATGAAATTGAATATTTATTCCCAATAAAATTCCTCTCAACCTGATAAAGGCTATCGGCAGAAGCCTATGGTCCTTAATGTTGGAAAATTGAATTATTCCCACTCTAAAGACTGGGGATAAGACAAATGTGTTTGCTTCCTGTGTTTCTATTCTACATGCTATGGAGTTCCAAGCTATTGCAGTTAGTCAAGAAATAAAAAGATCTAATTTCAAATAAGAAACTGCAAAGCAATCTCTGTTCATCAAAGACATGACTACCTATGCAAAAAAGTCCTAAGGAATCTATAAAGAAATTGCTGGGTCTAATAACTGACATAATGTGGTTCATTTGAATAACTGACATAATGTGGTTAAGATTGCAATTCTCCCTAAATTAATCTATATGTCCAATGAAGTACCTATCAAATAAAAAAAAGTTATAAGACAACCCTACAATTAAAATGGCAGTGCTTAAGACCTATAATAATCAAAACAATCAAAAACAAAGTTTGAGAATTTCATTAACTGATTTCCTTCAAGACTTACAATTAGGTTAGTTATCAAGACAGTATGATATTGGTTTCAAATAGATCAATGAAATAGGCTTAGAATCAACCCACACTTAAAATTTCAACACTTACCTTTTCAATGTATGCAAATTCTACTTTCCACAACCCACAAAGGAGATACTTGGAGAACCTGAAGGGAGAGGGCAGAACCATAGCCTTCACTTTGGCCCAGGAGGATCTGTTCAGCAGGACTTGTGATAACTTTCCTATCTTCTTTTTTCCACTTCTGCCCTGGGCATGCCATCCAAGGAAACAGTCAGAGGCGCTGTTCTTTTGTAAAATTAGCCGCGTACATTTACATGCTTGTTTTGAGATTGGCTGAATTTTGTTGGAATGACGCTGATCTCTGCTAACTTGATAAGAAACATTTAGCTGAGTCATTCCAGCACACGTGGTGTGTTGGCTGCGATGGTGGCTCTCGACCAGCATGTAAAGTTTGCAGTTTGCTTCATGGCAGTCAGTACTGCAAAATCTTTAGCTAGCACTTTGTAAAAAAAAAAAAGCAAATAAACCAAACAAATAAAAATGTTCCTGAATGTGCCATGTGGTTGCTTTATATCTGTAATTCTCCTTGCTGCAATACTCTGTCCAACACTGGTTATGTCAGAGGTGGGACCATGCTTTCTGCCTTCTCATTTTGGAGCCTGAATCACAGACAGTGGAAATAAACATGAATGTCAGGCTACCATACGAGCTTGTATAGCCACCTCATTTGAAAGAGCAGTTGAGTGCTTTGAATTAGAATGTAATGCAACTGTGGCATGCCACTCCTTCTCTGGCAATTGAGGGTTTGAAGTTGAATTTTGAAAAAGTTCTTCTGGAAACCTATGATGCCACTCTTTCATATATGTGTGTGTATATAGCATATAGTATATAATTATGTATGTGTGTGCATTGTATAAATGTTTATTATAGCATAACTAATATAATCACAGTGTAATAATGTATTGTATTATAGGTCATATTATATGATTACATATCATTTGCCCATTTGCTGTATATATCTGTGTATGTATCATCTATCTGTGTATCTATATGTTTATGTCTATCTATCTATTTATCTATCTGTCTGTCTAGTTAGATGGACCAAGAGAATGATCCATCCTCTGAACACCATGGTCGGGGTGTGATATAAAAATCCTTGCTCTCATTTCTGTCCTGCACACCACTGGGTAGCTGGGAAGTGCAGACAGCTCTGTCCGCAGTCTCAGAGACGGTGTTCTACCTCCTTTACAGCTATAGAGCTTAAAACCCTGGCCCCCAAGCCAGCTTGGGGATCTGGAACTTCATGATACTCTTTCTCCTGTTTTTTACTTCTTTCCTTCCCCCAAAGCCCTTGCAGCCTCTGTCTGAGGAGTCTGTACACAGAGTTCTGGAGTAGTCAGAGGGAGATTGATTGTCCCCAGATGTTATTAAGACCATTGGGATTAGGGTTCCATTGAGCAACTAGCTAGGGAGCAGTCATTTTGCCTTCAGATAATCAGAGAGCATAAATATAATTTATCTTTTGCTTTTAAAGCAGCTAATGAAGACTAATGTCATCTATTCTCAGTCTCAGGGAGTGCAAAGGAGAGATTGATGCCCATGGTGCCTGTATTCCTTGGCACTGCCTATTCCACTGCTGGCTCTGGTGTGGATGTCATTGGGGCAGAAATGTCTGTATAGGGACCAAGGACATCATCTTTATATGATGTGTGTATGGGAATCCTTTAGCATATGAGATCTTTTAGCATGACAGGTATAAACAAATGTCAATTACCAGTTATTGTATGATGGTTGTTTTCCCCCTTTTAGGTAAACAAAGCTAAGTAGCTAGTATTGCTCACTAACAATACTATACACTAATAATAATGTAATAATATTTTATAGTAATATTCATGCCTATCCTGCCTATTAATAAATATTACTAATTCTTTTCCTAAGGTGATTTTCCTTTTTCCCCTTGCAATCTGATACTTGTATTTTCTTGTGGCTCATTGACTCTAGAAGGATCCTGGAATTTTTATTTCACCCTTCTCATTTCTCTGTGTAGTCCGTTTTACTCGTTTTTTCCTCCCCTTCAAGTTTAGGCTTTCTGGTTTGGAATTTCCTTTGAGGCGTGATCCTCTGATGCCACCTAGGGGGCACCTGTAGGATTGGGCTGCCTGCCTGCAGCTCTCAGAAGCCTGCCTACCTCTCTGGCCCGAATGGTTTGGCTTTCCAGGCATCCTCCCACCCCCACCCCTGATATTAGGAAGAGAGAATCCTAGAGACACTGAAGGCAAAACATTTTAAAATTATGGGCTTCATTCAACTTTCTCAAGTCTGATTTTGCATAGTGATTGATAACAGGCAACACTCGTATGCTGTTCATCATTTGCTGCACGCTCTTCCAAGGGCTGTAAGTGCGCTCGCCCACTTCATGCCTCCAGCAGTCTGGGTTAGGCATTGCCACCATCTGTGGTAAGTGAGGAAACAAGTGTGGAATGCTGGGTTAGCATGTCCACTGTGAGCTGTGAGAGGAGGGCCAACCTCTGCCATCTGACTCTAGAAACCATCGCTTAACCGTCGTGTCTGGTGTGTCTCATCCCCTCTTGGTCTCCAGCAGCTTGGGGTGTGGGTGCTCTCCCTGTCACAGCTGGCACTTTCACAGATGACGCAGAATTTCAGTGGTCACTGTTGAGGCTGTGCTGATAGGAGGAGGACAAAGAAATGGAGAAGCTGTTTTAAAGTATCGTGGAACTGCTTTGTATTATACTGATTAAAAATGCATGGGAAGTTTCAATGTAAATCGTTAGGGGACTTTGTTTGCAGTGTGTCCATAATGGTATGCATGACCCTGCAGATTAAAACTCTTAAATAACCAATGAGCGTAAGAAGCAGTGTTACTGCCTCATGCAGTGTAGACATCCTCATTGGCATAACACAGTGTACTTGAGAGTAATTTATCTCGAAGGCTGTCAGTTGATATTGATGAGCATGGTAATTTACAAGAAGGGTGAACATCTGGAGAAGATTCTAAGTGTCTGTTAAAGTGTTCTTTTGAAAGCACTGGAAACCAGACTATTGTCTACCAAGTGTCCTAGGAGGACAGTATTTTTCTCTGAGCACCCCCCCACACTCTTTCTTTGGATTTTTAAATCACACATTAGACCTGTTCTACAACTTTCTGCAATTTTATGGTCAACAAACCCATAATATGCAGTCATTATCTCCATAGATATTTCATAAAACCTATTAACAAAAGAAAAATGCTGGCCAATGTAACATCAAAGTGAATGTTTACCTACATGTATTTGTGTCTGTGAATACACATGGACTACTAGAATCCTTTCCAAGAGGATTAACATTCTGAATAGGACACTTTTTAATCTCCCCTTTTGGTGCTTATGGGTAATCAAAGAAGCACATTACCGTCTCTTAGCCATCCTAACTTTCATTCTGAGGTTTGCTTTAAGGTATCATTTACAGAATGCTAACATGCAGACTGAAGAGCTATCATTACCCGGGTTTTCAGTGAGGAAAACAGCATCAGAGAGGCTAAGTGAATTTTCCAGTGGTCCCCAGATGGCCAGAGTAAGAGTTGGTGTGAGGCCAGGACTGACTGAAGCCCCACTCACCTGGTGGTGTTGTCCTGGCCCTTCTGTCACCCGTGCGTGTAAGGAAGGTTGTGTCTAGCTGGGTAGCCCAATGGTCTTGCAAAATTCTGCTTGCGCTCAACTTTCTGAAGCTGTCAGAGCTGTGTCTTCCCTGTACTCCACACGGGGGCCCATCCCTCTCGCCTCTTGTGTTTTGCAGCTTTGGAGACATGCTGTCCTTCACCTTGACGGCCTTTGTGGAGCTGATGGACCACGGCATAGTGTCGTGGGATACGTTTTCCGTGGCGTTCATTAAGAAGGTAACGTGGCTCGTGCTATCCTAGGCTTGCGTCACCTCCTTCCTTCAAAAATATTTTTCTCTGCTTTGAGGATATTTTATTCTTGTGTGTGTTGGTTCTTTATGTTAAAAGGTAAGTGTGCTTAATGTCAGTATTACGTATGTGGGGGTTGAAGCACTGAAATTATATGTGAAAATGATTCTTGTTACATAGGCTATAAGGATTTTAATAGATTGCATATAAGAAACTGTAGTTAGGGGAAAATTATTAATTAATAAATAATTAAATAATTAATTAAAGTTATTAATAATTACACAGGTGTCTACTGATGGATTATCTGAGTGTGACTCTATTGGCCTTAAGGCCTTAGCAGAGTTCCTATGGTTTCTCTTAAACCTTCCATCTCCAAGCTGGTGTTCAGGCAAAGCAAACAGCAAAATACATTGTTGTCTTGAGTGGCTGGGTTTGAAGCAAGGCTGTGAGGGAAGGCGGCATGCCTGGGTCCGTGCGTCTTAGGTGGAAGGATCTGCCTGCTTGTCATCATCACCCAGTGACTATCTCAGGCCCCAGCCAGTTCAGCTGGCCCCTTACGTCTCCTCTCTGCCTGCCGCAGCTCTGATTCTGTTTCTGTGCAGCAATTGTGTATCTGACTGCCTCTCGGTGTGCGCGAGTGCAGGAGGGCCGGAGCACAGCTCTCTTCATGACTTGAGCCACAGCGTCTGGCCCAGAGTAAGACCTGAATGCATTTCTGTGAGATAAATGCTTGAAATTTGCTCAGACAGTTTTTAATTTAACTTGAAGAAGAGAGGGAATACAGTGATACTCTCTTTAAATATATTTTAAGTAAAATTTTGGTTATGATTGGAAAAAAATAGAGCTGTGTTTCTTTAAATGATATGAGTAGTGGTTAGAGGCAGCAATTTAATTTTCTGCCTACTTAGGAAAATGTTTTTCATTCACTGAAATTAAATTTAAAAATCATATTAAGCCTAAGGAAACAAAGACTAGCAGTCATGGCGATTTAGATAAAAGCTTAAATGCTTTTTTAAAAGTCAACACATTTCATATATTCAATTTCTTTATTCTCAGTTGTTATATTTCCTTTGGATTGCTACTTGGAGACCCCTTAAATGAACTTGAAAAAAAAACTAATCAGAAAAATACTTAGTTTTTTTTGAAGGTTAACTTTTTATTCATTAGCTGGACCAAGTTCAGCACTTTGACAACCCAGGAATTGTATGCAGGCATCTGTCTTTTAAATGGAGCTTTATCTCGACAAAAATCAACTAGGAAATGTGCTGACAAAAGATGCCTATCTCTGTGGGCTAGAGCTGGCTTCCTATTAATGCCAAATTCATACCACTTCAGAGAAATACATTTTTCTCTGCCAGCGCCTGACTCCTTCTCTGTTTCTTTATCTGTTTTGTTATGTGTGGATCTAGATTCTCATTTACAAATCTTGACTGTAATAAATAACATCATTTCATAAACAGGCCAACAAATGGAATCCCTTGATGCCAATATATAACGTCATTGCTTTTTAAAGACTTGGCTACTTAAGGAGAAGGTGGGAAGACATGGGGAAGAAAGAAAGGAAAAAAAATAATGGAAGTTTCTGTGTTAGGAGTTGGTTTTCCTCTAGCCAAGTACAACATCAGTGCCTTCTTTTGGAAAGAAATTTTCCCATAAATGCTCTTGAAACCCTTGCTCACCCCCGAGGACCTGGCTTACCCCGTGAGTGTTCTCAGTGCCCAGGCAAACATCAACCACTTCAGTGTAGAGACCTGGTAATTTCTGCCTTTTAAAGCCTTGATAGATTTATGAGCCTGTACTCAGATAATTTAAAATATGGGAGTGAAGTACCATGCTCTCTGTGGTTGTTTTGTTTTTGATAGCATAGGAAAATTTTCAGGCCTCATTCTCAGTGTTTATTGTGTTGCTGATTCATGCACTGTGGTACCTCTTAGCTTCTTAAAAGTTACCCAAAGATTCTTCTGTTTTATTTAGGTACCATCTTTAAATGAATGAGCCCCATACAGAGGTAGGATAAGGGACCTTAACAAGTTCATGGAAAAATAGAATTAAATAAGTTTATATTGGTGTAAGCATGTTTTGAAATCTATGCATAGTTTTTTCATGATACGTAATTTCCACGAACTCTTTGCAAACCCTTTGTATATAATTACTGGTAATCCCTCATTCCTCTCTTCCCTGTGATACAGGCTGCCTTTCAGGAAGCTGTTCTGGGGCTGGCTTAGGTTGGCTTATGCATGTCAGCCAAAAGTGCAGCTGGAAAGCAGGGAGAAGTTGAAAGGCAAAGGAAATCATTACTACTCCTTTCAGGGGTAAAGAAATTAAAAAACTTAACCAGTTTGTTACCTTTTTTCTTTTAAAATTTTTATTTATTTTCATTTCACTTGAGAGGGAGGGGGTAGAGTAAGAGGGAAGGAAGAGAGAGGGAGAGGGGAAGTGAGAGACAGAGAGGTTGCTTTTCTGTCTCCCGGTTTACTCTCTAAATCCCTAAATGCGCACAGCAGCCAGGGCTGGGCCAGGCTGTAAGCCAGAAGCTCAGAGCCCAATTCGGGTGTCCCACTTTGGTGGCAGAGAACCAAGTACTTGAGCCATCACCTGTGGCTTCTCACGGTACACATTAGCAAGGATCTGGACGGGAAGCAGAGGAGCTAGGACTTGAACCAGGTACCCTGGTAAAGGATGTAGTGTCCCAAGCATTGACTTAACTGCTTGCCAAAATGCCTTGCCCATAGTCTGTTATCTTCTTTAGCTATACTCAGGTCTGTAATTTTCAAACTGGATGCTTAGAATAACACTTGTGCCGGCACCACGGCTCACAAGGCTAATCTTCCACCTGCGGCGCCGCACCCCGGGTTCTAGTCCCGGTTGGGGCGCCGGATTCTGTCCCAGTTGCTCCTCTTCCAGTCCAGCTCTCTGCTGTTGCCTGGAAAGGCAGTGGAGGATGGCCCAGTTCCTTGGGCCCTGCACCCGCATGGGAGACCAGGAGGAAGCACCTGGCTCCTGGCTTTGGATCGGCACAGTGTGCTGGCCGTGGCAGCCATTTGGGAGGGGAACCAATGGAAGGAAGACCTTTCTTTCTGTCTCTCTCTCTCACTGTCTAACTGTGCCTGTCCAAAAACAAACAAACAAACAAACAAAACACTTGTACATTCACTTATATGGGGTTTGTCTCGAGTTCTTTTGAGGAAGAAAGTCATTGTAATTGCTTATATTAATGCTCAATGCTCAATTAATACTAATTAAGTAAAAGTTTTACATCACTTAAATGTCTGATAAAAATCAATGACCAATAAAGGTGAAAAAAAAAAAAGAAAAAGAAGTTAGTTTCAACAAACTGATATCTACTGCAGCATGTGCACCTGTCTCTAGTGAGTTGAGTGTCCACCATCTGCCAGGTAGGTACTCAGCTCGGTGCATTCTACAAAACGCTCCTTGCTTAACAGTTAGCGTTGCCAAGGTGATTGGTTCCGAATGTCAGTGAATTATGGAAATCGTGAGTTTTGAAGACTTTAAATGATTAGTTTAGTGATTGCTTTAATGAATAGTTTCGTGAGAGAAATATATAGAAATGGAATATAAATGTGGTGTATAAATATGCCTACATTAAAGCTAAGGTTACAGATTAGAGCAAGCTTGTTGAAAGCAGGAGAGAGTTAATGACTTGTAGAGAACTTTAAAACCCATTATAGAAAAGGTGCACTTCATAGCAGAAGCCATGAAGAGTTCTGACTGAGTATTTTGAGAAAGGAAATTTGTAAGAAGGAGGCTTATGCAGGTGGCTGGTATGTGTCTACTCACTGGGAAGTATGAATGTAGAAGAAACTGAAGATGATGCTGTTTCCATTACCCAGGCACAAGTTGGTCCATTGGCCAGTGCCACATGCATCTACTATATCCAAAGAGAGACATCTCTCTGATGTACTCTACAGGGATAGAAGATAGGGAACTGGAAGTGTTAGCCACTAATGTTTATGGGTGCTTAAAAAGACAAAAATCATTGGAAAAGGAGGAATAAGAAGACAATGTGACTTACTTCCACCCTGTTTAGGTTTGCACTTTGTTGGAATATCCCAATGGAGGAATTTTTTGTATACCGAGAGTAAGCATTTAATATACTTGATAGTAAATGCCTTCTTACCTGTCTGTGCTAGAACAAAAAGCACTCAAAGTTAAAAATTGTGTGTCTTGCTCATCTTTGTGCTTCCAGATCCATAAGACTGTGCAAATGCAATGCATATAACTTGAATGAGTCAGTTCAGAGGGAGTTTAACAATATCAGCAACAAGTGGAAGACCCATGGAGTCCTAACACATCCACTTTAATATACACAGATAGGAAGAAGAGCCTGGAGTAAGGAGAGAATTAGTAGAGAGAAAACCAGAAGCATAGTCAATGAACTGCTTTATGAGTTTTCACTTTCCTCATAGCAATGCCAAGAGTTATGTCAGGGCCATGAAAACCAGTGGGATGGTGGTGGTGGTGAGTAAGTCGAGGGATTTCTATTCTCTTTGGAAGAGGCCTAAGTCAAGTATTAAACCATGAACATAGTGTGAGGGTAATTGGATTTTTGTCAGGAAAGATGACCTTGGAGAAATACAGGTGGCCTCCGTATGGTAGATTTGGTGGATTGGAGCAGCCTGGAAAGATTAAGGCGAAGGCTTGCCAGGGGCAGTAAACACAGCGAGGAAGTTTATTATAAGTCATGAGTGCAGCTAAGGCAGTCTTTTAAGAATCTTTAAATCCTCACATTCTTCCTGCAGCTTGAATTATAAAATAATGGCTTTTTGGAATGTGAAAGCCTCATATGCCTGTGGTTCTCAGTGTCATTTTTCCCCCGGCCCCTGAAATCCATGTGTATCTGGGACAGGCAGGGTGTTTACACCTGCACCTCCCACCCCTACTCTTCCCAGAGAGTCTGTGGGCCAGAGGCAATTGAGATGTTAAGTGGAAGTTGCCAAGGTGCATTTGCATTTATCATGGACAAGGACAGAGAGGGGATGAGTGGAAGGGGTTGATGGAATGCAGAAAGAGAGACTGTTACTGACAGAGGGAAACAGCAAGTGTACTTGCCATGGAACCAAGTTATTTAGCTTTTAAGAAGGCAGACATTACGTTGATATAATAATGGCCTTTTAGTATGAGTTGTCAACAGACAGTAATAACATTTAATGAGGCCTCTAAAATAAAACCTTTATGGTACCCATGTGTTTGGATTGCTGCGATCCATTATTCTAACCCCTATTTTACTTCCCACTTACATTCTGATTTATTATGTTCGGGGCTTTCATGATTAATTGTTTAAGGAATATATTTTAGAGCTTAAACTATTGTTTTAACTTTTAGCACTGCTAATTTAGATGATTTCCTGTTTGCTAAGTTTGAGAGACGTGAAGAATTCATTTTAACCAAAAGAAATGGGAGGAATGGGGAGTTTTGTGTTTGTTTGGGAATAGCAGCAATGAGAGTGGCCAGTCACTGAGAAGTTCTGTCAGTTGAATCATGTTGACAAGTGTGATTTGTGGGAGTCCCTTAAGAACATAATAAAGACACATAATAGGAATGTAAAAATCATAGACTGTGTGGACAAAGGGGTAGTCTGGAAATGGAAGAGGAATGGCCATTAGTGTATGTTGAAATTATTGTCTCAGAAAAACACAGGAATACTTTTCAATATTAGTGTTGCAATTGCCTGTCCCTGGAAGCTGAAACTTAGAAGAATCATCCTGAGAAAACCAGACAGAATAGTCCTTTGAAGATAGTTACTTTTCTGAAAAAATGTTTGTCATGGAATTATGTAAATAGGATAAACTCTGCTGTGTAGTGTGCTATAAACAATTGTTGTTGTGAGCTTCTTGCAGTTTGCTGGCGTTTCAGGCACTTTCATCCTGTGTCTGATGTCTCCCAAGCGTTCCCAACGGGCTTTATTTGTTCTCTTCTCCTCTGTTGTACTAATTAAGAGCAGTCCATGAAATGTGTCTCCCTTGGATTTCCAGATTGCAAGTTTTGTGAACAAATCAGCCATAGACATCTCAATCCTTCAGCGGTCCTTGGCCATTTTGGAGTCCATGGTGCTCAATAGCCATGACCTCTACCAGAAGGTGGCGCAAGAGATCACGATCGGCCAGCTCATCCCACACCTTCAAGGGTAAGCATGCTAAGGCCACTCTGGGGAGGTCAAGTGATTCACAGAGACGGCTGCAGTAATGCCCTGGGGAAGATTCCATATTGATTTGATTAAATGTACAGAAAAAGAATCTTGATGTGTATAACCAAACCCGGCGACGTCTTCATACTGAAATAGCAAGATACTCCTTAGTCCCCACCTCTGGTAAGCTCTGTATCTGTTCTGGGCACCATTCTTCCCCCAGTGCTAGACCCTTAGAGAATTTTCAGTTTCAAGAATGTTAGGTATCAATTTAGTTCTCATTAATATCAGCTTGTTCTCGTAGGTTGTCAACAGAATCATTCCCTAACCTCATAGTGTTTTGTGTGACACATAGATACATTTTCATAGTTAATTAGAAATTTTACATCAGGTACACTTTTAACTAGGGATTTTAAAATGGAAGCTTATTCCTTAGATAGGAAGATCCTACAATGGCCTTTTCCTTTTGTATTTTGTAATATAATCTATGTGGGTTTTCTTTTTCCCTCACAACTAGAGCTGTAACTTAGGGATAAGACAAGCTGCCCTAGCAGGCTGCAGTCTTTAGGGCTTTTCCCTTGGTTTCTACCTGTAGGTATCTAGTAAGAGTGCCTCTGATGATACCAACTGGAGAAGGACTCCGTTGTGTGATGCTGTTCTATAAATTATTGTAGGTTGCAGGTGGCAGCTAGCTTGTATGGGAAAGGGAGTTTGTTGGCTACTAGGGTCCCTTGTAGCATCCATGAATGCCTTAAGGAGCTGTGCCTTGGGAAGGAAAGCAGCTGTGGCTTCCTCAGAGTGCCCATCACGGGGCTTGTTCTCAGTGAATGGGCTGCCATCAGCGTGACCTGGCCTTCAGAAGCCCCTGCCCTGGTCTCTCAGGTCAAGAGGAGACCTGACCAGCTGGTGGGAGTGTTGGGAAATTCCATGATCTTCTGAAGTATTAAGGACTGTGTTTATGATATACACTGTGTGAGCACATTAGCAGTTTCCTTCAGCTGAAAGGCAGAGGATGACCAGGATTTAAAATTTAAGTCACAGAAGCTGTGTATTGTGGCCACCAGGAAAATGAGCCATTCTCCAAAGCTGCTTTTGGAAAATGAGACCAGTGTTCCCATTTCCCTGAATGTGCAACATACACATTCTGCAGCCTGTGTCTTTCTCCGAACATCAAAGGTGTGCATGTGCATTCACAGTCACTTCACCAGCATGGAGAAATTATTAATCACCATGTGCTGTGCTAAGGATTTCATTTGCATTGACTCATTTTATCCTTCTCACAGCAACCCTATGAACTTGGGAGGCCCGTGAACTTGTCCAAGCTGGACAATGGTGAACTGGGCTTTGAATTCCACTCCACTGAATGCAAAGCTCTAAGCTCTTCTTCTGAAGCAGCCTGATAAATGTCCTTCTGTGTAGCTGGTGGGCTCTTCTCTAAGTGTTGGGGCTTGTTATCTACTACATGCCTTACATTAGAGCTTTGCCTCATTTGGAATCTAGGATTTCTTTCCAATGGAAAACTAAATTTTAAGCATCAGTGAAGATTGTATATCACTTATCCTAAATGTGTGGGACCACAAGTGTTTCCCATTATGGATATTTGCATACAGATGATGAGATATCTTACTGATAAGATCCAACTTTAAACTCAAAATTCATTTATGTTTCATATACATCTTACATACATAGATTGAGGGAATTTTGTGCAATATTTTCAATAATTTTGACATGAGGTCAAGAATGGAATTTTCCACTTTTGGCTTCATGTTGGCATTCAAAAAGTTTCAGATTTTGGAACATATCAGATTTTCAGATTAGTGATGCTTAACCTGTTCTGTTATTAAAACATTTCTATTCGAAAATAGAGTTTTATGATATGTATTATCATAGCCAAGGATACTAAACAGTTTCCTTGAAATAAGCCCAGGAATGTGGAGACAAGTCCAAGAATATTCCCTGATAAATTTCATGCATCACACAAAATCAAACACACACACACACACACACACACAGTACTGCTGCTGTTGCTGCTGCTGTACTATTACTACTCTTCCTACTACTACAGCTCATACAGTTGCTACAGCTACTGCCACTACCACACCCCCGGATTCATCCTCTTTTTTTTTAATTTACTTTATTTACTTGAAAGATAGAGTTACAGAGAGAGGTAGAAACACAGAGAGAGGTCTTCCATCTGCTGGTTCATTCCCCAGATGGTCGCAATGGCCAGAGCTGCGCCAGTCTGAAGCCAGGAGTTTCTCCTGGGTCTCCTACGTGGGTTCAGGGGCCCAAGTATTTGGATCATCTTTCACTGTTTTCCCAGGCCACAGCAGAGAGCTGGACAGGAAGAGGAACAGCCAGGACTAGAACTGGCGCCCATATGGGATGCTGGCGCCTCAGGCCAGGGCTTTAACCCACTGTGCCACAGCGCCAGCCCTGGATTCATCTTCTTAATCCAAATGGAGGAGAAGGAAGTGAGCTGATGACTGCCTGTGTTTCTGGGCAAGCTGCACTAAGCAGCTAGGAAGAGTAATTGTCCACCTTCTGTGCTTCCAGTGGTTGGACTGCATTCTTAGTGCTGAATGCGGTTTCTGGGCTTTGCCTTTCTGACTCTCCTTTCTTATTTGAGGAGGGCAACATTGAGCCTTCTCATGGTCTGACTTCTTCTAATGTTCTGTGTCTTTCAGGACAGATCAAGAAATCCAAACCTATACCATTGCTGTGATTAATGCATTATTCTTGAAGGCTCCCGATGAGAGGAGGCAGGTGAGTGGTATTGCTTTAGTATTAAGACCGAGTCTGAGGCTGGAAAATTTTCATGCCGAGAGAGCCCTCTCCTTCCCGTTGGAGGTACTTTTTGGGTTGCTGCAAAGCAGCTGTGCTCTGGAGCCATGCTGGGCAGCCTGAGTTCCTGACAAATCTAGGGCAGGCAGGTGGGCATGGGGAAGCCCTTGACCAAGAACAGTGCCAGGAGCATTGCAGTAGCAGTTGGCTTTTATGAAATGGAATCCTGCAGAGAACCAACCACAGGAAAAGACGGGAGCATGGCCGCTCTAGTGGAAGCAGCGTCAGAAGTCTCTGGGGTCTTCTGGACTTTCTCACTGGGTGCTCACTGGCATGAGGCAGGTTCTGTCCCCGTTTTCCAGATGGGAAAACTGAGACAGAAAAGAAGTCCCACTTTGCCCAGGAAGGAGTGAGGTGGAAAGGTGAGAGGACAAGAGGGAACATATGCAGATTGCTGCCTCTGGTTGATTTAACTGCATTTGTATATCAGAGGGGCTCTTTGCTTGGGGCTTTTCTTTTGAACATGGGTGGATGTGACTGGGAACTGAATAGTCCGTTTCCCTCCCCTGTAGTAAAAGTGAAGGGAATCCCTTCAGTGTGCCCAGATGAAACGTGCTCTTTGGTAGTTTTCTTGGTCTGTGGATCCTTTGATTCTTTCTCAACCAGAGACAGGAATATTGTAGTGAGAGAAGGAGAAGTGCAATTTTGCCATCACTTGAAATTGAGTTGCAAAATCCATTCATGGTTTTTGATCGACATAATACACACCTGTAATAAGTTACCTTGTCACAATGCAAAGCCTTCCAACACTTCGTGGAAATATCGGACCTCTCAGCCCTACGATATGTACTGGGAGCTTGATGACAGTTCTCGATTGTTTTAGAAGCATTTAGAAGGCTCATCTGGAACTAAGTGCATTGTCAAGAATGTTGGTATTTTATTTTTTCATTGCCAAGGATTTCAAACCTCAGTAAGTAAATGTGAGGGGTTCTGGCTTGTTTTCCATTTAGAATTATTTGTTATTCCTCTGGGGCTCTGTCTGCACAATGAGTGCTGTCACTTCATAGTTTCCCTGGGATTTGAATTTATGCTGGCTGAAGCCAGGAGGTGGGGCCTGCTGTCCCTGAGCTTGGGCTGAGACCTCTTACCCAGGCCCGGATTTAAAAAAAAAAATATTTAATTAAAAAAATTTTAATAGACATATTAAAATTGTACATATTTATGCAGTACCATGCTATATGTTTTGACACATGTACGCATTATATCGTGTTGAATTGGGGTAAATAATGCCTATCTCCTCAAACATTCAACATTTCTTTATGTTAAAAACATCCAAAATCCTGCCTTCCAGGTTTTCTCCCTTTGCTAGAGAAATATATAGTGCGTTAACATTATCTGTAGTCACCCTATGATGCAGTAGAATCCCAGAGTGTCTTTACTCCTACCTAGCTATCGCTTAGTACCCATTAATCAACCTTTCCTCATCTTTCCCTCCTGGCTTCCCTCCCCAGCCTCTGATAACCACCAATACACTTTTAACTTCTATGTGATTTTTTTTTTTTTTAACTCCACATAGGAGTGACTGGATTTTTAAGGGATTCTTTGTAGATGTGAGACAGGGTGATGGGTGGAGTTACCCCTGTGATATTGTATCTGAGTACTGAACTCGGATTATCTCTCAGGCAACCCAGCCAATTGGCTGGCAGCTCTCCCTAGGCATTAGAGGAGCTTGATCCTACTGCCCAGACCCGGGACATCTGGCCAAACCACACAGCAGCTAAGTGGAGAATGTGGGGCTCAGTGAGGCTGTGTTCTGGTCTGAGTTCTTGGAAGTCTCCTTTCCCCATCTGTGGAAGAAGAGGCTGGATTAAATGAAATGAAAGTTCATGTCTACCCCCGGGGCTATGATTTCACTTGGATCTCTGAATCCAGACATGAGTAAGATGCAGACACCATGCATACTACTTTACACAAAACCCTCCTGCTAATTTGGTGAGTGAAAGCCTCATGACCATGGTCACACAGGGAAATATGTGTCAATTTCTACTGTCTTCAGAACATTGGTAATAATGGAAATAAAACAGGCTAGCAGTACAATATCAGGCTTGGATTCTGTGGGTCAATTTGCCTTTTTTTTTTTTTTTTTTTTTTTTTTTTGACGGGCAGAGTTAGACAGTGAGAGAGAGAGAGACAGAGAGAAAGGTCTTCCTTCCGTTGGTTTACCCCCCACATGGGTGCTACGACCAGCGCACTGCGCCAATCTGAAGCCAGGAGCCAGGTGCTTCCTCCTGGTCTCCCATGCAGGTGCAGGGCCCAAGGACTTGGGCCATCCTCCACTGCCTTTGCAGGCCACAGCAGAGAGCTGGCCTGGAAGAGGAGCAACCGGAACAGAATCTGGTGCCCAACTGGGACTAGAACCCGGGGTACCGGCGCCGCAGGCGGAAGATTAGCCTAGTGAGTTGCGGCACAGGCCCCAATCTGCTTTTGAAAGTTATGCAATATAAGGTGGCCTGGATGGAGTTTGATCATATAAAGCTGTAATAGTAATAAACTACCACAAAGAGAGGTCTAAAAACCTTGAGCTATTTAAGAAAACAGTTCAATTAAGAAAGAATATATGTAATCCTGCAGAAATTTACAAAGAATTGTATTACTAATTCAGTCTTTGAAATGAGTTATGAGACTGTATGGAAGATTCCAAGATGGTGGATTAGGGAATGACATACTGCTCTAGGCTAGGGATAAACAGTTTTAAAAAAGTGTAGGAAGTACACTCTCAGGGGAGAATTGGAGAGGAAACTGCTCTGGAAATCCTACAAGAGAAAGAGGAATGCCGTGAACCCATATGGGATGCCAGTGCTGCAGGCAGTGGCTTTACCCACTGTGCCACGGTGCTGGCCCAAAATTAATAAGTCTTTCAAAGAAAATAGTCACCTTGGATGTAATGGCCTCAACCTTCCAGTTAAAAGACACAGAATGAGTGAATGGATTAAAAAACAAGACCCGTCCATTTGGTGTCTACAAGAAACACATCTCACTGACAAAGATTCATGCAGACTGAAAGTGAAAGGATGGAAGAAGATATTCCATGCTACTGGAAAGCAAAAAATATCAGATGTTGCAATCGTAATATCAGACAAAATAGACTTTAACATAAAGTTAAGAGACAAAGAAGGGCGCTATGTAATGATTAAGGTATCAATTCAACAGGAAGATGCAACTATAATAAATGCATACATATGCATTACAGGGTGCCTGGCTATTTACAACAAATGTTAATGGTTATAAAGGGAGACATAGACTCCAGTACAATAGTAATGGGAAACTTCAACCCTCCACTTTCATCGATGGACAGATCAACTAGACAGAAAATGAACAAAGAAACAACAGAGCTAATCAACACTATGGACCAAATGGACCTAACTGATATCAACAGAACTTTCCACCCCACAGTTGCAGAATACACATTCTTCTCATCAGTGCATGGCACTAAGATAGACCATATAGTAGACCATAAAGCAAGTCACAGCAAATTAAAAAAAATCAAATTCATATCATGCATCTTCTCTGACCACAAGGGAATGAAGCTGGAAGTCAACAGCTCAATGATCTCTAGATCATATGCAAACATATGGAGACTGAACTGTTGACTGGATAAAGAAATTATGGTATATACATACTATGGAGTACTACTCAGCTTAAAAAAAATGAAATTCTATCTTTTTCAAGATGGACAAAACTGGAAATCATTATACTTAGTGAAATAAGTCAGTCCCCCAAAGACAGATATCATATGTTTTCCCTGATCTGAGGTAACTATTAGAGTACCTGAAATGTAATGTATTGGAGTGAAATAGACATTTTGAGATTCAATGATTATTTATAGCCCATGTCTTCCACTGAGGAAGTGTTTTTTTTTTTTCCTCTTCATACAATTTGTTGAACTCTTTTTCTTAGTGTACGGTTAACTATACAATCATTAAGTAAACTGAGAATAGATCTTTGTAAAAATTGAGAATGGGAATTTGAGAGGGAGGAGGAAGAATGGCTGGAGCATGGGCGGGAGGGAGGGTAGAGGGGAAAGTGTCACTGTGTTCCTAAATCTGTATATATGAAGTACATGAAACTTGTATAACTTACATAAAATTTTTAAAAAGAAATTAGTTATAAGCTACTAAGCTGTTGTGGACATTATAAACAGCTGAATTTAAGATATTTATCAAAAATTAAGGGAGTACCATGACTTTTAAATTATTTTTAAAAAACTTGAGTGAGTTATGAGAGTTAGCTCAAAAAATGGTTTCAAGTTCCACAGTAAAGGTAACTCTGTGGCCAATATTCTGAAGGCCAAGGAAGCCCTCTACAGCAGGAGATTAGGCTTATTGGTGATATCACCTGGATTGGTATAGCTAATATCGCCAGTAAGTGTGTACACCTTTGTCTGTCCAAATGGAACAGATTTTTTAGCTGGTGTAGATTTCATATCAATATTGTTATTGGCATATAGCATGAAAACAAATGAGGGAATTGAGACTCCAAAGGAATAAGGAACTTGACCAGATCACTGAGCTGAGGAGAATCAGAGCTGAGAAGTCTGACCTCATCCTCACCGCATCCTGCAGAGCGCTGAGCGCCAATCAGGGAGGTGCCACCCACCGAATTCTCCGAGGTTTGCCAAGGGAACACCTCTCTGCAGCATGAAGGACACCAAGCCCATTGTCTCTCTCCGTTTAGATTAAAACACAGTCTAAGCATTTATGTATGTGATGTGCAGCAAGATCTTTTTTGTTCAAAGCCTTAGGACGTTGGGTACATTCCACTTCAGCCAAGGATGTTTCTTTATTTCATCTTCTCTTCCTCAGTTGGGGCCAAACACATTCCTGGAGCTCTGTTTTCTAGGTTTCCTTTAATTTTTAAAATGCATAAAGTGGATTTGGGATGATTTTAACACCTATCCTTTATTTCACTGTTTACTTGGGGAAAACATACTACCGTAGTCAGAAGGACCTATGTAATTTTTTCTCTTGTGTTTATGGAGTGGACTCTGCTGATGGGCACTGGGCAGGTGCTGTGCCAGGACTTGGGTATAACGTCCTCTTCTGGGAAGGCCTCCATTGCTGTCTTGGGTTGGTGGCCACGCTTTCCCATGCCCCTGTGATGGAGGAGGCCCTTGGTTCCCTGCACAATGAAGGGAGCGGTGCATGCGTTTCACAGGGGAGGGGGTTGCTCGTAGATTGGAAAATGCATCCGTGCCCCGACAACTACTTGCATTATCCAGTCTACTCTTTTTTTTTTTTTTTGACAGGCAGAGTGGACAGTGAGAGAGAGAGAGACAGAGAGAAAGGTCTTCCTTTTGCCGTTGGTTCACCCTCCAATGGCTGCCGCGGCTGGCACACTGTGTTGATCCGGTGGCAGGAGCCAGGTGCTTCTCCTGGTCTCCCATGGGGTGCAGGGCCCAAGCACCTGGGCCATCCTCCACTGCACTCCCGGGCCACAGCAGAGAGCTGGCCTGGAAGACGGGCAACCGGGACAGAATCCGGCGCCCCGACCGGGACTAGAACCCGGTGTGCCGGCACTGCAAGGCGGAGGATTAGCCTAGTGAGCCGCAGCACCGGCCCCCAGTCTACTCTGTCTACTCTTTTAATGCAAGCATGTTGGCAAGATTCATTCCAAATTTCCCTGTACATTTCTATTGTTTTTATAAACAATATTAAAAGACACTGTTAGATAAGCACTTGGTAGAAAATTCAGAAACGACGGAGTTAGAAGGCAGAAGGCTGAATGACTGGCGTCCCGTACTGGCCTTTGCAGAAACAGAGCTACTGCAGTTATTCACAACTCTCGTGCCTTTCATGGGGCTACTTCCTGCCTTGTCCCGTGTGCATATTCTCTTACGTATATCATAGTGCGTGTGCTGTTTCTGTTAAAAGAACACTTAAAATGAAACAGTATTTTGTGTTATTTTTCCATATCAGTATAGATAAACTCATATTCACAGCTTTCCATACTTTTGTATCACTTTAATGCTATAGCATAGTCACTCTGGAGTCTCATGTTTTTTAGAATATTTTTCTAAATTGTGCAGAAAAATCCATGATGACAAGACTATTTCTATTTTCTTCCTGACCAAGCTCCTATTCCTTAGGAGGGTAGTATCAAACATGCGCTTAGTCTTTTATCAAGCATTTATTGGCTGCCCTATGCCAGAATTTATGCTTTGGGCTTGGAATACAAAGAAGGACAAGCTGTTCCCTGTGCCTGTGAGGAGCCCATAGTCTTATGCAAACATAAATATTGTAAACTGATAATTGCAAACATTTCTCTAGTAGATGTTACAAATATATTGTCCCTTATAACTTACTTTAATATACTCTAAGCTAGTATGCTAGGATAAACAGAAAGAAAAATAGGTTTTCTTTTTTTGTTTGTATGACTATTGGGCAGTAATTTCATTTTGTAAAAGGAAAGAAATTGAAAGAACTATAGAATCCTTTGGGCCTTTTTGTCATTTGGCCCAAGGACAAAAAACAAACTGGTGGGCTTTTCTATTTCAGTTGACCAAGCGGCAGGTAGAGCTGCTTCTCGGGTATCGTGTAATTTGTTTCTGGATGGTCAAGGTCCCTGCTTTCTGGTTTGCAAGAGCACAGAAGAGGATGTGCTACTGGAGGTCAACTGTAAAGCTGCCTAGACTTTCTGAATCATCGTACAGAATAACGCCCTTTTCAATGCGCTGGGTCGGCAGGGGGTTCACTCAAAGCTGCCAACCTCTAACAGAGTCCTCTGCCTTCCCGTCCCTTCTTCTCTCCTGCTCGCATTCCTCTCTGTGGTGGCGCTGACGCCGCTAGGTTGATGTAGAGAGCAGTGTTGACATCCTTGGTTGTCCTCTGACTGTAAGTCATCCGCGTTCCCCTTGTCAGCAGAAATGGGCCCTGTTCTCCGCGGTGCTGTCCATCCCTGCTTGTATGTGCCCCCTGGAGCTCCTTCCCCTGTGTTCTTGTTGATCCTTGCTTTCTGCAAATTTATTTTAACCTTGGTAGAATTCATGGTTTTGATTTTTAAAAATTCTTACTCACCTACTATTTTCTACTTATTTGGAAGGCAGGTAGACAGAGACCCAGACTGACAGAGAAATATCTTCCATGTGCTAGTTCACTCCCCAAATGAGCGAGGCAGCCAGGGCTGGGTCAGGCTGAAGCCAGGAGACAGAATTCCATCTGGGTCTCCTGTGTGGGTGGCAAGGACCCAAACACTGCTGCCTTCCAGGGTGCTCATCAGCAGGAAGCTGGAACCGGGAACCAGGAGTGGAGCCAGGCCGTGATCCTGAGCTTCTGATACGGGATGCAGGTGTTACAAGTAGCAACTTAACCACCATGCCGAGCACCTATACCTACTCCAAGGTTGTTTATTTATCCATAGCTTAGTTTCATCTTTGGTCAGTAAGATCAGCAATACCGAAAGTACTCCCCACCACAAAACAACATTCTAGAATCTGCTTGAATATGAGCAGTATTTTTTACTTTTTGAATGTGTGCACCAAGATTGTGCTTGACTGTATAATTTTCCTGAGCATGTACTTGTCAATATGTAGAAAGGAAATCTGTGAATCATTTTGTTTAACTAAATCATCTGCAAAAATCTTTGCCAATCAAGAAATGTCAAAGTGTAAAGCAAAACCTACAGCTAGGAGGCCTAGCGGAGCTGCAGTCTGGCGTGAACTACTGGGAGAGCTCAGCATCTGGCTAGACACCGTTCTCTGCTAAAACACCACTCAGTTCACTTACGTGGTCTGCTTTCAAGACCTGCTCACTCTTTGATTTTGCATGAATTAAGATGAACTGGCAGTTAGAAGACTTAGCTCCTCAAGGCCGTGCACGAAGGCCTTGCTGTAGGAGTGTGTTGTTTTGCCAAAGCTTCCTGCACATAGACTAAAAGCAAACATGGCAAGCCTTCTAATGGAAACCCATTGTTTTCATCTGGAATGTTTGATATTTAATTGGCACTCACTTCTTTCTGGAAGGAGGAAATTTTTTAAAGCCAAAAAAAAAAAAATATTGTAGGTGCAAGACTTCCTTCTTTTGCATTTGAGATGGCTTTTATAAGCTCAATGGAACATTCAAAAAGTACTGTGCATACGACTGCTTGTTGGGGTTCATTCTTTCATAAGAAATACTGCTGATAGACAGTTAGGAAACACAGCCCAGGGGAGGTCAGTTTTGGATGTGTTGACCTTGGTCTTTCTAACCTAAGCCTTCATGTGCGTGTGTTTTTGTTCCACAGGAGATGGCAAATATTTTGGCTCAGAAGCAGCTGCGTTCCATCATTTTAACAGTGAGTACTGAAGCGCTGCGGCCACTTTGGGGATAGATAGCCAGAGTTGTTTATGCTTCTCCTCCTTTGGTTACGTCGCGGTTTGCTCCATGACCTGCTTCTGTGGTGTAGCAGTAAGAACTGGAAAGGAGGAAAAATCATCCTTTTGGAGTTGGATAAATAAGGCATTCCTGCATGAGCGGCTTTTCGTGATTGGAGGGTGGAGTCTCTGGAACTGGAGAGAAGATAGAGGGACCACATTTTCCAGGAAGGTTCCTCAGCGTGTCTCACGGAGGGGCAGGTTTATTACACCCATCAGAGCTTTACTCTGCATGGACAGAAATCATGGGCTCCCTTATCTTAAAGCATCCACCAATCGGAGTTTTTAGTATTTTTAATGAGGAAGCTAAATGGCCCTGAGAGAGGGCCTGGGATTGTGGCCATTATTTTCCTTGGGCCTCTGAGAGAAGGAGGAAGTACAGCACATGCGTTTCCTGCAACATAAAAATAAGCTTGAGCCTCAGTGGGAAAGAAACCCTAAATGTCAAACTGTAAGTGTTTAGAAATAAACCAAGCAGCAAGAGTTCCTGAGGCCTTACCAGCTACTTGAAAGAAGCCGGTTTGGTTCATTTTCCTGCTTCCAGAGAGAGAGAGAGAATGAAGGAAAGAAAAAAATGTTTCTGGTTGTGTGATTCCAAAAAGGAGTTCAGCAAGTTTACAGTTACCCACACACACACAATTTTAAAATGTAGGTCTTTTTATTATTCAGGTAAGGTTAAGTCCACAGACCGGATAACAACCTTGGAAAAATGAATTGTTCCTTACCATTCCCAATGGGGAGGGCAGAACTTGTCACGGTGACCTCATGGGGAAGCGCCTGGCTAGGTCCGGAGGCAGAGGGAGCTGGCAGAGAATGAAAGCAGGGCTTTTCTGTGGTTTTCAAGGGGTGAAGTGGTTAAACTGGTTAAACAATTCCAGATTGGCTAATTTGAATACTTTCAGTGGGTTCTGGAGCAGATGAGCTGTGCCTGGGTGTCTAGTACTTGGCCATCCATTATCAGAGCAAGGTGGTAGGGGCCCTGAGCCTGAGAGTCTGATAGAGGATGGGTGGGTTCAGGGACTTTGGCCTGATTTGTTTGCACATGGAAGGAGTCACTTGTTATCTTGAGCAATTGGTTGGGCCCGGGAGAGACAATCTCTCCAGGGTCAGCAAGGCTCCAGATGTCAAAACATTAGAAACACATGGTTAATACACACATGCGCACATGCACACATAGTCTGATGCAAGGAAGCCACTAAAAATTAAAAACCTCTGTGGGCAAAGGAAATAAATACTTAGCACCCAAGATTTGTGATAAGGATTGCAGTTTGTGATCAGGTTTATTTTAAATTTTTTGACTGTCAGAAATGAAGAGAACCATTTGAGTGTAACTTTCATTCAGAGATACAAGTTCTGCCCAGCACACACCCACCTGGAACTGGCATCTGAAATAAGTCTTGCTGGAACATTATGGATATGTGGGAAGTGCAGGAAGAGTCACACTATATTCACAGTAACAGTAGAAGATGCTTTATTAAAGTGTGTTTCAGTGAAGGTGCTTGTTCAAGGAGGGGGTGAATGGGGGGATGTAGGGTTAGAAATGCTGAATTAGAGGGTCTTAGCCTATAGTTATTTTTGCCTTGTGCGGCAGTCATGGTTGAAAGTCCAGAGAAATGAGTGGGTGGAGGGACAGTGGTAGCCATCCTATCTCAAGGTTCAGTTTGCTGAATGGGGCAATTTTATGAGCCTAAATAGCTGGAAGTTCAAGGTTGGTACTGTCTGGTAGGAACTGGGAGTATAGACACTTTCAGCTTGTTGCAGAAGTAGATAGTCAGGCACTTTGGACATTAAATGTACATTACCAGTTAGCATTCCATCCTGAAGATTGAAGCATATGAGGTTTGACCTCTCCCCATCCCATTCTCTAGCTCCCCCCCACGACTGGATTAGTGACCTTGTATTATATTACCTTCCCCTCTTCCTTCTGTTCTTCATCTTCTCCCATACCTTTTTTTTTTTTTTTAAAAAAAAAAGCTTTCTTTATTTATTTGAAAGGCAGAGTCACAGAGAGGCAGATACAGAGACAGAGAGAGGTCTTCCATCTACTGGTTCACTCCCCAAATGGCTGTAACTGCCAGAGCTGGGCTGATCTGAAGCCAGGAGCTTCTTCCAGGTCTCCCATGCAGGTGCAGGGGCCCAAGGCCATCTATTTGGGCCATCTTCTACTGCTTTCCCAGGCCATAATAGAGAGCTGGATCAGAAGTGGAGCAGCCAGGACTCGAACCGGCACCCATATGGGATGGCGGCACTGCAGGTGGCAGTCCCACCCGCTACGCCACAGTGCTGGTCGCCCATACCTTTTTTCTAATCTCCTGTTATAGTGTGGTGCTGATAGCCAAGGAATGGAATCCAGATGCATGCCAGTTTGGGAGACACCCAGATAGTACCTTCAGGACCTAGATTTCCTCCAGTCCTGGCTGCAAGACGATTTTGTTTTCCATGGTGGGCAGCTTTGACGTTCACTGAACTGTCACTTGGAAGTCAGCTCTCAGCAGTCTGCCCAGAGACAGCGATGCAGGGGAAAGTGCTCTCTCAGGAAGCAGGGCATGACTGTGCCCAGCACACTCACAGCTGGCATGAATGTTGTCATGCACTGCTTGTTTGGCATTTTAAGCTGCAGCCAAGATCTGTACCAACAGGCTGTGTATTAGGCCCTAATATTGACTTAGTGACGGCTATTCCATTTCAAAACCCAGATCTGGTGTGAACAAAAGACCCATGCATCTTGTGTTAAATTTGTTTCATTTTCAGTCCTGTTTCTATGGGGAAGGATCATTGTATTTTTCATTTAATTGGTAACTGGTAAGGAAAGTAACGCCCAAGCCGGTGCCGCGGCTCACTAGGCTAATCCTCCGCCTTGCGGCGCCAGCACCTCGGGTTCTAGTCCCGGTCGGGGTGCTGGATTCTGTCCCAGTTGCCCCTCTTCCAGGCCAGCTCTCTGCTGTGGCCAGGGAGTGCAGTGGAGGATGGCCCAAGTACTTGGGCCCTGCACCCCACGGGAGACCAGGATAAGTACCTGGCTCCTGCCATCGGATCAGCGCGGTGCACCGGCCGCGGTGTGCCGGCCACGGCGGCCATTGGAGGGTAAACCAATGACAAAAGGAAGACCTTTCTCTCTGTCTCTCTCTCTCACTGTCCACTCTGCCTGTCAGGCCTTCCTCCCTTACACTTCCTCCTGCACGAAGTAGGTCTTCTCCTGGATTCTGGTTTAATGACCAGGAACCTTTCTGGATCGTGGAACGTAAAGGAAAGCTCCGAGGTCACCCCTCTGTGGGGTGGTGATTCTAGCACTCTCCACCTCCGTGCCGGCACATGAAGACTGCTGAGGTCCTCTTGGCAACAATGAGGGTTAATGTTCGTTGTTGGCTCCCTCTTTCTTTCTCTTTTTTGTCCCTCATTCTTCCCTCCATCTCTTCCTTCCTCTCTTTCTTTATTTCTTTCTGTTTTTAAAAATGTCACTTGTGGTCCTTCTTCCAGCATGTCATCCGAGCTCAGCGGGCCATCAACAACGAAATGGCACATCAGTTGTATGTTCTGCAAGTGCTCACCTTTAACCTCCTGGAAGACAGGATGATGACCAAGATGGACCCCCAGGACCAGGTCAGTACACCCTGGATGAGGGAGGGAAGCTAGGAATTTCTAGATATTATTGTTTCGTGGTCATCTCAGAACTTGATGGCTTTGACATTTAGGTGAATCTAGGCTCTGAGAATTACATAAATGGATTCTTCTCTTAGGCCCCCAATACCTGCATATTCTTCTTTTATTGCATAAGAACACCTGCTATCACATGGCAGGTGTCCCTAAAACCTTCGGCAGTGACAGCTTTGGAATCAAGTACCCAGACAATGAGGGCAGTGGGGCTCTGTGTAGTATTGATTCTGCAGATTGAGGAAGTAATTTCCACTCTCCAGTGACCAGTGCCAAGGGCCAGTCTCGGGTTAGATGCAATTTCTGGGCTGGTGTTTCTGTCAGTTGATTATTTGCTGGAACTCTCCGCCAGGTCTTTGGTTGTCATGCCTGAAAGGTGATGTCTCTATCCAAAAGGCTGTGTGTGGGTAGTATGAGGGTAGAGTGAAAGCAAACAGCTGGGAGCCCTGCTTCTGCCTGGGATATTTTCAACTTCACCAGCACTGCAGCTCTGGAAAGGAAAACACTCATTATTGGCACGTGAGGGCCTGATCGATTGCAGATGTGAAGTGTGCATGTGAAGTGTGTGGCTGCCACAGCACTTCACTCGTGGCATGCGGCCATGCGTTGAAGGGTGATGGAGAGACTTGGAGAGGCCAGCAAATGGGCCCTGTGTTTTGTGGCAAGGCCACGTGTGGTCACCCCTGAGAGGTGAGACTCTCCTCTTCCCACTCATGGTGATGGAGAGCAATGCATCTTAATAGGGAGCAATTTCCTTGTTTGCACACCCTCCCGTTAGTTCATTGGCAATGTTTTTAATTATAAATATATGTAACAAAGTGTACCATTTTAACCATTTTTAGTGTGGATTTATGACCGTAAGTACATTTGCACTGTTGTGAAACCATTGGCACCACCTACTTCTGCAACTTCAGAACTGAATTTCTGTACTTATACACAATAGCTCCCCGTTCACTCCTTCCCTCAGCCCCTGGGAGACACCATTCTACTTGCTGTTTCTATGGCTTTCGCTACCCTACGAAGCTAATGGGAGTGGAATAAGAAAATGGTTTTTTTTGTATCTGATTTACTTCACTCAGCATAGTAGCTTCAAAGTTCATCCATGTTGTAATGAACGTCAGAATTTTGTTTCTTTCTAAAGCTGAATTAATATGAGGGCACTTCAAGACCTGTATGAAAATGAAATTTAGGGCGGGCGCCGCGGCTCACTAGGCTAATCCTCCGCCTTGCGGCGCAGGCACACTGGGTTCTAGTCCTGGTTGGGGCGCTGGATTCTGTCCTGGTTACCCCTCTTCCAGGCCAGCTCTCTGCTGTGGCCAGGGAGTGCAGTGGAGGATGGCCCAAGTGCTTGGGCCCTGCACCCCGTGGGAGACCAGGATAAGTACCTGGCTCCTGCCATCGGATCAGCGCGGTGCGCCAGCCACAGCATGCTGGCCGTGGCGGCCATTGGAGGGTGAACCAACGGCAAAGGAAGACCTTTCTCTCTGTCTCTCTCTCTCACTGTCCACTCTGCCTGTCAAAAAAAAAAAAAAAAAAAAAAGAAATTTAAAGTGCATTTTGGTGCAAAAATTTGATCTCCATGCATACATAGTTTGTTCATAATACACATTTTTCATGAAGTTTTTGAAGCCCCCTTTATATAAATGAATGTTGAAATTTTGTTTGCACCAAAATAAACTTGTCACTAATTCCATTTTTTTGAACTTTTGGAGGCACCCTCATCTTGCACTGCGTGTCTATACCACATTATGTTTACCTATTCATTCCTGGATGGACACGGGGCTGTTTCCAACTTTTGACCTTTTCTGTTTGTGCTTATTCCATTTGTTTCCATGAAATCACTTCTCAGTGAATGTAACTTCAACACTGTTCGTTGTTTCCAATAGTACAGGACTCCCAGTTTCTCTAGCTTAGCCTGCTCCAAACACAACCCTCCCATCCTATCTGGGGCTCTCCTTTGGGAGCGCACTGGGCAGTGGATATCAGTGCTCCCAATAACTTGGCTGCAAGTTATTGTAGAATCAAGCCAGGGATGACCGGCAGGGAGAGGCAGGAGGAAGACAAGTCTGCAAAGCCCTGACTTAGAACACTGGTTGTCTTTTATCTGTTTTTCTTTTGCTTGAATGCAGTGATTTAGTGAAGCCCTGGGGAAGAGGGAGTTGTAACATCACAGGATGAAAGCAGCTCTCTCCACCTCCCCTTATGCTCCTCCTAACTCTTTCAGGCTCAGAGGGACATCATATTTGAACTTCGAAGAATTGCTTTCGATGCGGAGTCTGAACCTAGTAACAGCAGCGGCAGCATGGAGAAACGCAAGTCCATGTACACCCGGGATTACAAAAAACTTGGCTTCATTGTGAGTAAAGCCCTCGGCAGTAAGCTCTCTCCTCCCAGCCCCAGCCCCCTCGTCCCCGGGGCTGACCTCAGCCGCATCAGAGCGTGTGGTCCTCTTGCGCTTTGCACATTTCCAGATGTTGAGCTGGTTTAAACAGGATCACATGAAAATCTCCTCTGGCTGCAGTCAAGTGGAATAAGTTGCACAAGTGTGACTAATACCGCCTGTGTTTATTCAGTCCTGATTACGTGTAACCGAGAGTAGTTAGCCTGGAATGCAGCTCCACTTCATTAACTCTGCCCACAAGGTGCTCGAGGGCCTGTTTGAGTTGAATGCACGATGGCATCTGTGGGGTGGGTCTTATTATTTGGTTGGGGACCGGATTATACATATACATATATTATATACATCGATTTCTTATCAGAAGCAAACAAAAGGTTTCCTGAAATGTCATCGTGATCGAATTTATGCAATTTGCATTTTCCTAAGAGCTTTATCTTGCTAGGAATGCTGATGACCTGTCTCCTAGGTTTTTTTTTTCCAGTTTGTAAATCAGAACACAGTTGGCCTGAATACAATCTGTTGTTTTGTTTCTACTTTTGCTTCAATCTTGTCTTTATCACCATCCAGTTTCTGAGTGCTGTTTGGCTGCTCTCCAATTCTGAAGGTGTAAAATTGGGTTTCCATTTTAGCCTCCATCATAAACAACCTACATCAGATTTCCACAGCGATGGTTAGATATCAGCAGGGATCATTTTTATAATTTCAAATATTTCTTCCTTGAAAACACTACAGCCTGTGTGTGTATATATGTATCTATGAGGCGTCTTCAAAAAGTATGGAAAATGCACATTATCCTTTAATCTCATATTCCATGAACTTTTTGAAGTACTTCCATCTGAGTCTGTAATAAATACACCATGTATATATATATATATATATGTGTGTGTGTTCATATATATGTATATGCATATTCTATGACAAAAATGCTGTGGTGTTTTATGTTTTATTTAGGAAACTTTGTCTTTCGTGGAAATTCTTTGAAACCGTCACCGTATCAGTCAAAGTGTACCATGTTTCATAACCAAAGATTCTTTCCTTATTTGGAGGTACCATGGTTTATTTCACTAGGGCCATTTTACTGAGTGATTCAATGCTTTGAAGCTACCAGCAAGTCTATAATTAACGTTGGTGTAGCCCAGTGTTTATGTATATCTGTGATCACATTATTTGGATGAATTTGCAGAACTGTCATTTTTTATGGTATATCTTTTAAGGCTTTTGGTATTGTCACATTGCTTTCTGCAAACATTGAGTAATTTCCGCTTTAATCAGCAATAGGTCAGACTGACCATTTTTTAACCCTCTCCGGTAGCGTTTCTTCAGCTAAAACAAAATGAAAATGGCCAATCTGAGGAGTCGTTTTTATAGTGTCAGTCTCACTGTGATTCCCATGCTCTGTGAAACATCATGTACATATCTTAGTGGTGGCGGGCATAGATGCTGCAATCCAGAGGAGCCAGCTGGTTCTAACAGGGACAAAGGAGAGGGAGCTGCTTGGGGACAAATGAGGGAATGTCCATACTCCAGGTCTCGTGGACGTGTCTCCTGTTTGTCCAGTCGCTGTTAGAACACAGAGCTTTCTACTCACAAAAATCACAATCTCCTTTATTCCCACATCGTATCGAAATTGTCACGGAAGCGATCAAGAGTAGCATTTCTGCGAGCCTGCCCTGGTCCAGAGCCTGGCTCTGGGCGACTCCTCTGTCTCCAGTTCCGTCGTCCTCCTTCTGCCCTTGCCTGGCTTTCTTTTGGACTGTGTGGAAAGTGCACAGTTGGGTCCCTTCCCTGTACTGCTTGCAGGGATCACTCTGTCTCTGCCCGAGGTCGCGTTGGCTTTGCTGCGGCCAGCGGGGTACTGGAGTACACCCCAAGAGGGACTGACTTCTAGGCTGTAGATCTCCGTGACAGGTACAGAGGACGGGAGTGGGGGGGTGGTGAAGCAGCTCCCTTTCCATTTCCAAGCTCTGTTCTCACTGAAATCCCTGGGGCCCACCACAAGCCAAAATATGAGCAATTTTTCTCAGTGTTGCTCCATCTGTCTTCACACTATTGTGAATTCCTCCAGCTTAGTCTTGGAGTGTGTTTCTTCATTTTCTGTCTACTAAGTATTCTGCTTCATGAGTACTTTATGAGAATGATGGTTATTTTATTTAAAAAAAAAAAAAAAACAAACCTGAGAATGAAATCAATGTGATTCTAAGGCCCTTGCTACTTACAAGGTCTTCTCCCCAAGGATTTAGTTGAAAAGTCGTTTAAGAAAAGTAAAGAGCAGAGACTAACTCCAAAAGCCATGGTTTTCTTTATTTCTCCACTGTTTCAGTTTTCAATTTCAATCCATCTCCTGCACACGCTCTGAAGCAGGGTCTTGCATCAGAGTTGAAAGTTGGGAGAGATTAGGCATGATTTCGTGTGCCGGAGATGATCCAGCAACCTTGACAAGTAGATATTTTTACTTTTCAATACTCAGCCAGAGGGAGCGAAACCTCAGGAAAGGGAATTACACGCTCATTGCGCCACCTACAGGCCGTCTCGCAGAAAACACCTGACGGCTGGCGGAGGCCGTCCAGTCTGGCCGCTAACGCCGGCATAGCCAGCGAGCTGAGCTCTCTGCTTCCTGAAGAGGAATCCTCTTGCCTATTAAACTCCTTCCGGGACGCGAAGGAACGATTGGAGGTTGGGTAATCTCTGGGATCTCTCTGGAGAAAAGTTCAATTCATGAGATGAAGATATTTCTCATTTCTTCTCTCCCAAGTGGGCAATACCCAGGCAGCATTTGGAATTGGATGGGCTGAAGGTTATAACTTCAGTTTTCCTACTTCCGAGCCACTCATTGAACCTGTTTGAGTGTTGATTTCCTCACTTCCTTTTAAAAATTATTTCTGAGCCACATGGGTACTTTAGCATGAGAAATTTTGTAAATATTTCCCCTGGTATGTACACATTGTTCCAAATGAAAAAAAATGACAAACATGTGAGGATTGAATGGGAGAATTTTTTTTTCAGAATTTACGTTCATGTTAATTTTTAAAAAGATTTTATAACTTCTTTGGTGATAGAAGATAATTATGCATAGTTATAAAAGTATAATTCTACATAATTACATATACAGTGCTTGTTGTCATTTTCATATAGTTTTTTCCAAATGCAGATGGCAGGGAATGCAGTGAACTCTGTGTGTGTGTGTGTGTGTGTGTGTGTGTATCTTTCTCCATCTCCATCCCTGTCCCCAAAGCACAACAGGAAGCATTTTGGCCCTAAAGTTCCTGGATTCAGGAGTTACTGTGTGAGTGCAACACGAAGATTAAACTTGGGCTCTGGCTTCACGTTGTCTGCATCCATTTCTGAGTCTCTCACTCCCAGGCTGAGTCGCTCAGGCAAGTGACCTGAGATTTTTGTGTATTTTTTTTTTTTTTTTTGGTATTTTTAAAATGAGAGATAAGAATTGTGTCTATTGGCACGTTCACTGCATAGATTAGATTAGTAGATACTTGGACATTATTTGCAGCAGGGTTTAGCACATACTAAGCCGTGTGTGATTCTAGATGCTATGCTGATGCTGTTAGGGTAGCTATTAATGTTCTCGGAATGGTGCCCAGGACACCGAGACAGATAGTAATAGGGTCATGTGGGAGTTGTAGGTTGTCCCAGGAGAGTGGGGAGAGAGTACAAACTAACAGTAGAAGGGGAGTGGACACCATGGGCTTGGGGAACTGCAGATCCTTTATCATGGCCAGTGTTTATATTGGAGACACAGAGAGAGAGAGAGAGAGAGAGAGGGAGAGAGAGAGAGAGAGAGGAGAAGAATTGGCTTTGAGAGTTGAAATAAAGCTATAGAGATAAGCTTAATAATATTAATAATGAGTATTCTTGATGATTTTTAAACGATGTGTTTATTTATTCAAAAGGCAGAGTGACAGAGAAATAGAGATACAGAGATAGGGACAGAGAGTGAGAGAGACGGAGGCGGGGGAGGGAGCGAGAGCTTCGATCCGCTGCTTCACTCCTGAAGTGGCTGCAGCAGTCCAGGCCCAGCCAGGCTGAAGCGGGGAGCGAGCTCCTCCAGCGTGCTCTCCCACAGGGCTTTCGGAGGCCCTAGAGCGAGAGCCGTCTTCTGCTGCTTTCCTGAGGCACATTAGCAGGGAGCTGGATCAGAAGCAGAGCAAGCGAGACTCAAACCAGTGCTCAGATATGGGGTGCTGAGGATGCAGTCAGTGCTGAACGTGCTGCACCACACACAACTTGGGCCCTTTTTGGTGCTTTTTGAGGCTATTCTTGGATATGCAAAAAGCAACAAAAATTTTGCGTTGCCCAACCCACATGTTGGCAGCTGCGGAAAGATAAGGCTCTGCCTTCTCCTAGCAGTGTCGCACCGCAGACATGTCCTTGTAGTCTGTGTGGGGCCTGTCTGCGTGTGCTTTCTGTTGGTGGCATCACTGTGTCCGACAGCACAGTGCTGCTGTCCTGTCTGGTGTTCATGAATGTCAGGAAGCCATGTGCCTGCCAGAGAAAACACAAAAGTGTGTGTGTGTGTGTGTGTGTGTGTGTGTTAGGTAAGCTTCAGCCAGGAGTGAATCACAGTGCTCTTGGCTGCAAGTTCAATGTGATAAGCCAACACTGTAAGTTACGGTGTATTTAAACAGAGCTGTGCGTGAGGTAAGGGTGTGTAGGGATTTGTCGACAAAAATGCTGTGCTCAAAGGTGCATGAGAGTCAATGTTCTGTTGCCCATAGAGATGGTTCCGTTGTTAGCAGGGTTTGCAGCGACTTCGTAGGACATTACTACTGTGGAAAGGAGAACGTGCCATACGCTGGGCACTTGGGGGGCAGGAATAACCCTGCAGAAGAGAATCGCAGGGAGCCCACTGGATCTTGCATGTGGGTGGCAGGGACCCAGGTATTTGAGCTACCACCTGCTGCCAGGAGGCTGGAACTGGAAGCAGAGCTATGGGATTGGGCGTC